TCTCTCTCTCTCTCTCTCTCTCTCTCTCTCTCTCTCTCTCTCTCTCTCTCTTTTGGCTTTTCAGGACAGTATCTTGTTATGTGCCCTGGCTGGCCTCAGACTCATGGTGATTCTCCTTCCTGTCTCCCCAGTGCTGAGATGTCAGGTTTCAGTACCACACCATGCCCACACAACACCTACACCATACCTATACAACATCCATGCTCTGTCCACACCATGTCAACACCATGCCCACAACATGCCATACCATGCCCACACCAGCCCACATCACACCTACACCATGCCCATGCCATACACACACCATGCCCACACCAGCCCACACCACACCTACACCATGCCTACGCCATGCCCACACCATGCCTACATCATGCCCACACCGTGCCCATACCATGCCCATGCCATGCCCACACCACACCCACACCATGCTCAAGTTTCACCTTGCTTAGAAAAATGCTTACTGAAAGTGTACATCAATTTGGTAATTACTCAGAAAAAAATGCTGGATTGTCCAACTAATGAACATGTATACATCTCCATTTCATGATAGTTTACATTTCTCTCAGCTATGTTTTTGAAATATATGCATAGGTGTGTATGCACATATGTGTGGAGACTGGAAGCAACCTTAGGTGTTATCCTTACAAGTGCCATCAAGCTCCTTTGAGACAAGGTCTCCTATTGGTCTAGAGCTCACCAATCAGGCTAGACTGCCTGGTTTGCGAGCCCCTGGGAGCCCTTGTTTTTACCTCCCCAATGCTGGGATTCCATTTGCACACTACTGCACCTTTCCCTGTGTGGAGGATTCTGGGCTTTAGGCTCAGGCCATTGGCTTTGTAAGGCAAGTGCTGTCCTGACCGAGCCATCAACCCAGCCCCCCCAAGCGGTGTTGAGCAGTGCTCTTGTAAGTCTTTGGCTATGCTGTGTAAATTTATCCCTAAGAATTTTATGTTTTCAATTTCAATGTAAATTGAACTTTGACGAAAATAATTTTCAAAAATTTTCTGGTGGGTAAATTGGTTTTTCTGAATTATGGTTGTATCCTAGCTGAACTTACACGTTTTAGAAGTTCCTTTCTAGACTCCTTAGGGCTTAGTTTTGTTTGGCAAACATCGTATCACCTGCAAACAATGATTTTTGCTATTTCCTCGCTGTTATTTTTGCCTCTTTGCTACTTCCTAGTAGCTGGATCCGCCAGCTCCATCAGAGACATGGAAGGGGCCATTCTAGCTTATTCCCTGCTTAACATCCTGTTCTGTTTATAGTCAGCCATAGCTTTTCACAGACACATTTTAAAAAAAACAATTGAGGATGTTTCTTTCTATTTCCAATATATTGAATTATTTTAAAATTGTGTGTTTTTCCATTAATGTATTGAATTATGTTGGTTTTTCCTCTTCTTTATGTGTCTAGTATGCGTGTATGTGTGTGGGTGTACATGTGTGCAACTGTGTGTGCACTAGCTTTTGGAGGCCCAACGTTGATGTCAGGAATCTTCCTTGATCATTCTTCCACTTTATACTTTGAGTCAGGGTCTCTCCATCAAGCCCCAAGCTTGCTGGTGCAACTAGTCTGGATAGAAAGCTTGCTCACTTGGGGGAATCCCCATTTCCATCTTCTGAGGCTGGAGTTATAGGCGACTCTGTGCCCATGGAGAGGATCTGAGCTCTGTCCTCTTCCTTCCTTCTCCCCAGCCACTGCATTGATTGTGACATTTTTCTGATATTTAGGAATAAACCCTACTTGATCATGATGTATTTTCCTTGTATGTATATATCCAAATGCGATGTGTTTGGGTTCAGTGCCAGAGGAACCCTGGTCTGTGCTTTCTCTTTCTGTTCCCTCCTTGTTTTTATTTATTTACTTAGATAACTGCTTTAGCTGCTGTCAGTTTTACAGCTATGGAGCCTCATGAAACAACAAAAGGTTTCCTAGTTCTGTTTTTTTTTTTTTTAATTAGTTGCAAGTTCAGGGTTTTGTTTCCCTGGAAGGCCATTTTTGGTATAAATCTGTGAACTGAGATGTCAGGGTAGACTTGGCATCACGAGGCTGTAGTAGATGGATTGGGACAGCTTCCTTTTCATTCAGTTGATTTCTTCCTTCTGGCAACTTCCTCCCCCACCCAAACACCTCAGGAACTGTCCACTCTAGTGTCTTGTCTACAAGGCAGTGGTATATAAAACTCCTGACTCCCTCAGGGCAGCTCTCTCTTGGCCAATTACACTTCCTTAGTACGTCCTCGCTGATGACATCCATCCCCTTCTGGACATGTGGCCTTCTCAGGTCACTGGCTTTGGGATACTCAGCTATATTTAGGAGGCCTGGAATAATTCTGCTGTCACTTTGGCACTTCTGGGATCCATCTAAAAAGTTGCCATGAAGGTATGACTATGGATAATTTCATCTCACTGAGGGAAATGGCAAGATATTACATAAAATCATGGCGTTCAAAGCCTAAACTCTAAGTCATGGCACACACATGCTCGTTGGCCCATAGCTTGTGTCTCTCTTCTGTGTTTGAATGCAGCATGATGGTTCCCGGCAATGCAGCAGGTGTGGCCAAGCAGTTCCTTCGCTGTATCTTCCACCAGCTGGCACCCAATGGCATCTTCCCCCAGCTGTTCCAGAGTGCCATCAAAGGTAACTCACTCCCCTGAGGACCCAGACACTACAAGTCCGGCCAGTACCCGAAAATGCTGCTAACTCTGTTTGCTTTATAGATGGAACGTTTTTACGGACCTTAGCCACATCGCTCATGGACTTCAATGAGCTGAGCTCAATTGCTGCCCTCAGTCAACTCTTGGAGGTAGGTTTGCAAGAAGAACGCCCTAGGCCTCAGCCAGTGTCAGGTACCATGCCTGTGTCCTTTTTGAACCACTTCATGGTGTTATGCTGTATCTTGGGGTTGGCTCCAAGTCTTTATGAGCAACATCGAGAAGTCCCCTTGATGTCACCATGCCCAGCGGTGGCTAGGAAGAAAGCAGCTGCTGCTATTATCAATAGCTCCAGCCTTTATTCTGGAGGATTCTTTCCAGCAGGCATCATTCATTGTCTTCTGAGCATCCAATCACCCAAGTTATAAAGCCTTACATAGTTCCTATTTCATGATCCGATAATACCTCTTGGACTTAAAGATCACCAGTTTCTCCTGGAGGCTTTTCTAAACATAACTGGTTTTTCTTCTGTGTTCTTCCTGCCTGTTGGAACGGTCAGCCTGTGTAGCAAGCTGTCCGGCATGTTTATAGTGTGACTATATGATTTCTAAAGAAGCTGTCACTGGATAGCTTTATGAACTCCTTCACTGCTTTCAGCAGTTGATTGCCTATGCTTTTGTGTTTTTAGGGTCTAAATAACAAAAAGAATTTACCAGCAGGGGGTGCTATGATCCGCTGTTTGGAAAACATTGCCACGTTCATGGAAGCTCTGCCCATGGATTCTCCTAGTAGCCTCTGGACAACAATCAGCAACCAGTTTCAGACATTTTTTGCCAAGCTGCCTTGTGTTTTACCTCTGAAGGTGAGCTCAGACAAGTGTTTAGTTTCCATTGCTTTCTGCCCATTCGCTTACAGAGACCAGCACATGAAGCACGGTCAAGTGATCCAATAGATCCCAAAGGTCTGTGGGAAATCTGTCAGCCAGAGTGGAGAGAGTTATTCAGGCCCCTCAGTCTGCAACATCACAGGTTGTCAGCAGCATGGAGTGGATATTTTATCCACTGAGAACGAAGCTGTCCAGTGACCACATGGTTTTCAGTTGGATAAAAGGGTGCCAGTAGAATATGGTTTGTTCCCTTATGTGTCTTTCTGTCTTCCCCTCTCTCTCTCTTTCTTAATTTGTTTTTGATTTTGTTTTCAGCATCTTATGCATGCTAGGTAACATTCCTCTGAACTCCAGTCCTTAGATACTCTTTATGCAGAAGGTTTTCTTTTTTCCTTGAGTGGCAAGGAAATTAATAGTTTTGTCTAAAAGCAGTCCAGACATTGGTAAAGTGTTAGTTTTAGAGAATTATTTAAAGTGATATTTTTGGATAGTGTCCATGTAATGTTCAAGGAAGGCCACCATGATTTTCTGTGGGACAGTTTCTAGAGTTTGGATCAACACTGGAATTGGGAAGACTGACAGACACACACACACACACACACACACACACACACACACACACACATACCCCAAGTGCGCTAGTGAAATTGCTGACCAGCAGGGAGTGCTGCCGCTGTAAACAACTGCCATGCCTAATGTGTGCCAATCAGCTGTGCCCACAGGGGCCCTGCCGAAAGGTTAATGAGTGGAGTGGTGCCAGATACGCTAATAAGGAGAGCTGAGGCCCTCGACAGTGTTAATGCACCGCTCCTGCCGAGGGCTGCAGTCTGCCGTCCGCTCCTGCTGATGGTGGTTTTATGGAAACAAGCCTCAGCATGTGGACCTCCCTCCTCCCCCACTCCCGCTTTTTTCCCCCCTAAGATGACATTTCCTGGTTTTTAAGTCACCAGGGTTTGGCCTGATCAGCAGCTGGTTTTCAGCTTCTGGTTTAAAGTAAGTAAATGTCATGTCAATTCTGAAGGGCATTGGCATATTAAACAGGCTGAGTTCTTTTAGAAGCTTCTTAGGAAATACTGCCAGGGTTTGTGTAAGGAAGTTCTCTATTCTGTCATATCTGAAAACTGATTCCGTTTTGTCTTTAATCTCTTAGGAAATATCCCCCAGTGAAAATCTTGCAGTTTGTCTTTGGGAAGTGTCACTGAAGGAGGTCTCAGACTTCAGTGTGCACCACTGTCCCTGCTAGTGACAGAGGGCTGTGACTGGGGGGAGCGAGGTCAGGTGACAGACACACCGCAGGTCCAGGGGTCCTCTAGGAGACCCTCTGGCTTAGTTTATCCTTTGTTGAAGGGGACCATTGTCCGGCTGTAAAAACTGGTGTGGCTTTAGTGATATGCTCACAATAGTAAACAACAGCTTGTTATTTGCGAATTTCCTCCCGACCCTGAAAACTCAGAGGTTTTCAAAGACTATTTTGATCTAGACTCTTGAAAGTGTGTTTTTTTTCTCTCTGTATGGATGTTAGAGAGAAATTTTGCTGCTTGTCTCCAGGTTCTGGCTTATGTCTTTTCATGACAAAGGGAGGGTGAATTCCCACCTACGGAACTGGGGAGGCCTTGCTCAGTGGTACAACACCTTGCTATGCACAAGGACCAAGTTTAATCCCTAATCTTGTGAAAAATTAAAATAAACAAATCCCAGAGGAAGGGTGATGAAGCTGGTTATTTGGACTAATGATTTCTATTAGCTTTTCCACCCCTCAGATAACTTTTCCTTAGTATACTTCTTTAAACTGGTATCCATTTAACATCTGCCTTCTTAACCTTTGTGTCTGTCTGTCCATCTACCTATCTGCCCATCCATCATCCACCCATCCATCCATCCATCCATCCATCCATCCATCCATCCATCCAGTTCTTTATCAACTTTGTCTATCATTTAATTCTGGCATTATATCTTTAGGAAATAGTTTCAGAGCTATGTTTATTTAATTAATTTATCTAATAATTATTTTAACATTGCATAATTGTTTCATTAAAGTTTTAAAGTCTGAAAGCAATTGTTTTTGATAGACGTAGGAAACAGTATAGAGATAGTTACAGTAAGATTTGTGTTTGCATGTGTGCATGGGTTTGTGTGTATGTGTGTGCGTGTGTATCACATGAGTATGAGTGTGTGTGTGTGTGTGTGTGTGTGTGTGTGAATCCCTGTGAGTATGTGGGCATGTGGAGGCCAGAGGTCAGCATTGGGTGTCACTCCTCAGGCACAGTCTGCTGTGTTGTGGTGAGACAGGTTCTCTTCTTGGCCTAGAGCTCACTGAGTTGGCCAGGCTGGTTGACCAGCGAGCCCCAGGGAACCCTGCTTTCACCGCCCCAGCACTGGATTTATAAGCACCAGACACCACACTCAGCTTGTTCTTTCACTTGGGTTCTGGGCACAAAATTGAGACTTTATGCCTGTGTGGCAAGCCCTTCGCTGGCAGTGCCACATCCCACATCCTTCTTTTTGCAAAATATATGCAGGGAATAATTGAAGCAAAGAAAGCTGACTCTTGCCTTCTCATATCTGTTCACAGTGTTCTTTGGATTCCAGTTTGAGAATCATGATTTGCCTCTTGAAGATACCTTCCACCAATGCCACGAGGGTACGTATTTTAAAAATGATTCAGAAAAGCTTTCCTGGTTGGTTATTTAATTATCTTCTAACGGAAAGATAGGAAGAGGAAAATAGCAATACTGAAGATATGGCTTCTGCGTCTGGACCGCCCCCCTTTAGCGTCATTCTGGGTCAGAGTCTAACATCCTGCAATGCTACCATTTGTAATCCTTCTGGGCTGGGCCAAGCCTATCGCTCCATCCAGATTATCCTCCAGATGGCCTGAGTCATCTAAGGAGGGTTGGTGTTGGTTCCTTAGTTAAAAGGATGACTTTGATGACTTCCGGTTTCTTTCAGGGTGGCATCTAAATTCCTTGATGTAGCATTCAGTTCCGTCCCTTCTCACCAGCGCACCTTTCCAGTTTAATTTCTGTTACTTGTCCCATTCCCCCTGCATCGTGAAGTCAGCATCGCTATCTTCCTGAAGACAGTGGACACTGTGTGTTGAATGCTCCTGTATTGTACCTCGTGCTTTGCACATGTACTTTAGTTTCAGACCCTCACCTTTGTCCAGGCTGCTTCCTCTGCCTGACATACTCTAAACCATTTCACCTTTCAAGGCCCCATATAAGACTCCTAGATGCTCCATTATCCATAGGAAGCACTTCCGTGAACAAGCTTTCAGTATTAACACCACAGGCTCCCCAGTAAGACCATGAGCCATGTGGGATGTTCAAGACCATGTCTCATTCCCTACTCACATATTTTGGCTGCCTTCTGTGCAGCGTATAAGAACTTATATTTTGGTAGCTATAACTTACATATTATATTAAGCTATAACTTATATTATGCTAGCTCATCCTCCAGCAGTGCACATTTCTGATAGCTGTTTCCTTTACACTTTCAGAGTCACAGTTCATGCTAGCCAGTTGCAAGGAGAGATGAACCAGCCTGTGCCTGTACAGATAAAGGCATAGATTCTGAAGCAACATATCTGGTCAAGGTCATAGCTAGTTTGTGACTGGTCTGAAACTTGAGCATAGGTCCTTCGAGAACAAGTTCCTTGGTTTTTCTGCTGTGTTTGCTGCCTGTCAGCTGCTGTTTAGGTGTGAGTGTTTCCAGATAGGATGGAATCTAGCTTTCTATCTATGGGCACCATCTCAAAGCTTTCTTAAGGTTTTCTATATAACCACATAGGTTTCTGAAGAGGAGTACCAGTAATGGAATACACATCCATTTTCAGGGGGCAAAGAACAAACAATAACTGATCTTTATGCAAATATAAAAGGAACCCCCAAAAGTCTTGTATCAGGTCTGAAGAGAAAGCTCAATAATTGTCGTCCTTGCAGATTCTAAATTTGGTTCCAGGAAGTTCACACTCCCTTGTAACTCCTGCTCCCAGGTACATGACACTCTCTTCTGGCTTCCTCAGGCTCCTGCACACCGCTACGCGCACACACACAAACACACACAGAGACATACAAACACATACATAGACATACAAACACACAGAAACCACACATACACTCACAGATACACACAGATATACAAATAGACACTGACATGCAAACACATACACACATACAGACACATAGACACACACACATATACACAGA